TAATTTGTCAGAAAAGTAGATATCTATCATTATCAACAACAATTCCCCCCCTCCCCCCTGATATATATATCTGCATGTAACTAGGGACGTGCAGATCTGACTTTCTGAAATCATTCTATTCCTACCTTGGCTATTCCAACACGGCTATTCTTTAAATGGTAAAGCTCTTTTCAGTAAACTAATTCACCCTTTTTCTTTAATAATTTTTTTTTATTTTCCATTTATCCAGCATAGTTATACAACAAAATTCACTTTACAAAATAAAATAAATTCATAATCATAACCATAACCATAGGTGCCGCTTGCTCCTTCCCCCCAAGCTGCATCCACCCTCTCTAATACCTTCCCTACTTCCCTCCTCTTTCTCTCCTCCCCTCACTACTCTCTTCCCCTCCCCTTCTCCTCTTACCATCCTACTTCCTCCCTTCACCTTCCTCTGCTCTCATCCCTCTCAAATACAGGAATACAGCATGGCCACTAATTCACCCTTTTTGTAAGAGGTATTCCAAGCAAAAGAAAGAAATATGCTTTGTGGTTGGACCACACAAATTTAAACATATCACTTCAATATCACCCTCAGCTACTCATTAAACAGGAGGTTGATTTAATATGCAAAAGAGGAGAAAATGCTTCAGGGTGTAATCATGCTGGCTATTTCAATATTCCACAAATTAATCAGGACTTTAACAGAGAAACTGACTAAGGAGACAGAAAAATCACCAAGTTTATTTAGAAAACTATTCAAATCCATAAATCTTTATTAAAATGAGTACCTCCCACTGAAGCCAATAAATCATGAAAAGTAAAAGAATCTGAATCCACTACAACAGACATTTTAGGAAAGCCACCAGGCTTGCAGAAATTCATGGGGACACTCAGCCTGACACAATCAAAATAACAAGATCCTCCGCTCTCAGATCATCAATTCCATTCACTCAAAATATCCATATAGTAAACCTGTCTATTTCTCTTTTTGTAACCTTGAATTTGCAAAATGGTGTATCACTGGACAACAATTTTTGAATCAAGGTACTTCAAACAGGTTAACATAAAGAATGTGTCCAAAATCTGGGATCCATTACACATGTAAAATTAAAATTGCAAGGAACTTCACACGAGTGGTATTCACAAAGTTGTGGCTGCTGCAAAGTCATAGGGGAGGAGCATATTCCTACCTCTTTCTTGCCTTTCTCTGGCCCCTGTGCCCAATCAGTTGGTGGCAAGATCCACTGGGGAAGGAGCAATTGGTTGCCTTGGAATTGAGGCCAAAACCTGATATGGCTTTAACAGTTGTGGGTAGCAAGGGAAGAATGGAGTGACTGAATATGTGCTGGTATCAAAGGATTAGCTGGGAGCCACGAATGATTGATAGATAAGCCCTCTTTCTCCCTGAAGGAAGGGAGCCCTTGGGGACATGCTGGGATGAGGATTGGCAGTGCAGTTTTCCTTGCAGTCTCTGGCTTCCTTTGTTCCCTCTCTTTCCCCACCCCAGCAAAGTGGCAGGCAGTTCCACAGGTCAGTCAAGAAGAAGAAGGAAGAGGAAGAGGAGAAGCTTCGCTGAGGTTCATGAATGGAAGGGAAATGGTTCTAAACTATATGGTATATGGAAAGGAAGATGACCCAATAGTTCATGAGTTGTCTAGTTACATTTAAATAAGCTCCGCTGTATGTTTGGGGTAAAAAGGTTTCTATGGCAGACACTACTCAGCTGTTCCTGAGGTGCAGCCTCAGCGTGAATGTGAGAAGTCTAGGCCAGCTGAACACTGTCCCCAAGACAAGTCAAGCTAACTTGGGAAAAAATACTGTTAAGCGGTGGGATAGACAGATCACCAACAGAATCTCTGCATGGTCCTAGCAGAAGCATTGAAAAAGATGGAGTTACTGGCAGTAACATTCTCATTCAGAATTAACTCCTGGATTAAATATCTGACCTGGCATTAAAACAATAGGAGCGTTAGGCTAGATAGTATTACTTCCTGTCATCTAACTTTCTTACTCTGATTGTAATATGAAAGAAGATGAAGCAAACTAGTGGATGGCTTTTTTTTATCTCCATGTAAAAGCAGGGGGGAAATATTGTGGTTGATTCAGATTATGTTAGTTTTCTGATTTAGTGACATCAATGGGAGATATTCATGTTAACCTGAGTCTAAACAAGAGGTCTTTTTCTGGGGCATTACTTGAGAATAGTGATGGCCATTTTGTATATGCTTCATTTCAAGATCTTCAGGCTACAGCTACTATGTGCAGTGGGTTTATGACAACTGAATTTTCTGAAGCATAACTGGATAAATGCTCTTCCTTCTAATAAAAACACATTGTCATTGTGCTTTGTTGGTTATATCTGTCTGCATCTATTATGTACAATACCTGGCGCACTGATGGTTCAGTATGATTGATTATCTTCAATGAAATGTTTATGTGACAAGGAGAATTAGTGCAGTCAAATAGTATGATTCTATAATACATGATGTGCACATAATAGCTATATAATGCAGGCCAACAAGTATAAAACCTTCTACTGACTTAAAACTAAAAAAACTCCAACAAATTTTTTTTTTTTAAATCTTGCTCCAGGGAAATTTTGGCATTCTTCCCCCCAACCTACCTTTATTGTTTTATTAAATATTTTATTAATGCTTAATAATTAATACTTTTGTGCAAACTGCTTTATGAGATTCATCAAAAGTACAGTATGCATAGCCTACGGTAATATGTTGTGGGCTGACATAGCAATAAAAATACCGTTTCTCATATTGATGCTGCAAAGTTGTCATCAATGCTGATACTGATTCATATTCTTCTATGAAGTGTTTAGAATACTGAACTAAAATGGGGAGATCCAGGTTTAAATCCCCATTAGGTATATATTTTATACTGGATCAGTCACAATCTCCTGTCCGGGGGGGGGGGGGGATTCTTACTTCAGAGTTATTGTGAAGTTTTTTTAAAAAAGGAATAGAAGAATGCACGTCACCTTGATCTCCTGGAGGAAATATATTGAACAGTCGGAAGAACAGGACACTAAGCAAGTTGCATTCAAAACAGATACACATGATCTTCACCACAGCAATAGCGCCTCCTAGCTTGAACTAGTGCAAATTTTTGCTAGCACCCTGGAATCTAAGACTGGTGCACACATAAACTGAAATTATGTGGGAAATCTGTGGCTAAATATAAATTCTAGATTTATTTATCATTATGTTCAAACTAGAATTTCTGGCTATATGCTTCAGAAAGAATAAGAAGCTAAAAACAACTTTGGCATTGCATTCTGATTTATTAGCTGGGAATCTCAGTTCAGATACGACTGTAAACAAAACAAAGTTGCAGAAATTCTAGGTTATTTTAATTGCTCCCGGGGCCATAAAAAGTCAGTGGAGGCAGTGAGTGCTATTTGTAAATAATAAGCCAGAATTCAAAGCAAGTTCAATTTTTAAGTGTTAAACAGATATACTGTTTATCCAGACATCTATGTTTTCTGGCTAAAATGAGTTTATATAGTATGATTAATTAAAAATGAACTCCTTTATAAACCCAGTCATCTGATCAATAATGCCTAATCATTAAGTTTTAAGTTTCCAACAAATAATACTGCATGTGAATATATTCACACAATAATTACCCCTAAAAATACTAGGTAAAATATGTCTGCCCTCACGATAATGAAATCTGCACTATATTATACTGCACTGAATACATATGATGCATTATTTGGTCAGGTAAAAGCAATTCCCCTATGAGTGGATTACTTCTAAAGTACTGCTTGGGAGAAAAATATTAATGAAAAGTATCTGAAAGACAAGGTGAATAAAAAATTGAAAATAAAGTAGATTAGAGGGCATCTATAAAACTCAAGTAGTTAACAATGAATTAGACTGCTTTTCATTAATCAAAGCCTCAAAACCAGAAACATGTGTACTATTTAAATCTCAATTATTTAATTATTATTAAAAGGTCAGTAAAGTTATTTTTTTTATAATTCACTCTTTACAGGAATTTCAGATTCAGTGTCATGAATCAGAAGTCTGTTTTACTTTCATAGTTCTCAGGTAGAATCATGTCAGTAGAGATTTTATACTCTACCTGCTGCTCTAGTTGTTATTCAGGTTTTTATTTGACAGTAACATTTTTACAACACAGCTTGGTGACAGACAGGATGCTGGCTCTCAGATGACAATATGAGTAAGATTGCTAAATGTCCTAAATAGAATTGCCACTTTTTCAGCATCTTGGATTGGACACAATTTATATCAATCTCTCATTCTGTTTCCGATCACCAAAAACCAAGCAGCAAACAGATTGTCTCTTAATCAACCAAAATATTCAGTTTGTGCAGTCTCTGTACCCACATTGCAAAAGTTCTTTGCAATAAATCTATTTAGAAGTCATCTTTGAGCTCTCAAAATATACAAGTAGATGATGGAAAGAGCAGAACTGAAAGAAATGCATGTAAACAGCAAACTAAAGTGACACATTCAAATAGCAGAAAATTATCAGTTAATGGCATCCCTGAAAAAAAGGTGGGGACTCATTACTGTAAGAATATAAAGAACAACAAATAGAAACCACTGTCATTTATTACCGCTTGGTAATCAATTAATCTTCCTGAGAATTTGTTTTACAGAAAATAATTTCATCGTGGATCTGCCATTCTCAAAAGACAGATGTATTACCTACTGTTTAGAAACATAATAAACGTACTGCCTATTTTATTTTCTACTCACAGTTGGTTATTGATATGAATTTTTCTTTTTTTTAATCTTTAACATTTATTAGATACCCTTGTCCGTAACCACTTCAAGTTAACACTTAATGTAAGAAATACTATATTACATGTTGTGCCATACTAATTAAATGAGATTCCACAATTTCAAAATTTAAGGAACTCCAGCAGAACATGGTATAACACTAAGAAGTAAGTAAGTAAGTAAGTAAATAAATAAATAGAGGCAGAAACTGTATTGACTTTCTGTCTAATTTAGCTACTGTATACATACCTGAGCAGCCTACAAAAACTTCTTCCATAGCTGAGCCTCTGACTAGCTGCAGCCACGCTGGGTGGGAATGGAGGTCGTGATGGGAAGTAAGCTAGCGCTGCACAGAATATCACAGCCACAATGCCAAATTCTATGGGGACACAATTAAAGAAACCAGGGGGGGGAAAATGGATTATAATAAAATATACAATATTGCCCAAAAATGTTGCCAACATGTTTTAAAATGCTAGGGCAGTAAAAGAACCAAGATTGACTACCCCTGTGTTAGGGGAACAACAGAGAACATGATTTGGAAAGTAACTTACTAAATGCATGGAATGACCATACAAATATTGTCTGATTGCAGTCCCCATTCACTGAACAATCGTTATCAGTCTTATCGCCTATCTTTTCAATAAACAATAGCAGTAACTGGCATTCATCACAGAAATGGAATAAAATGACAAAGGTATACACTGAAGTCAAATACATAAGTTGTAGTTTAAAAGGGTCAATATATTAAAAGCAAACTAAAGCTATAAATTCAAATAACAGAAAATTAATTATAAGTTAATGGCATAACTGAAGAAAGCAACAGGATTTTGTTAAGGGACTGAAATGAATGAGGAAATAAAAACACTTTAGGAGAAAGGAAATATGAGAGACTTCCATGAGTTTTTCTTAAAAGAAAACTGCAATTGCGCTATGCAAATGAACACTGAGATATATTTTCATTGTACTTTTAAATGTAAGAAAAGTTAAGCTGAAAAGGAAGAGCAACATATACTAACCAGCAGAAATAAACAGTACAGTAAATCTTTTGATTGGTCAAACCCTTGGTTTAGCAGACTTAAAATGCAAAGACAAAATCTGCTATATATGTTGTACAAAAATAAAATATACAATTCTTAAAATCCTATTCCCATTTTATGAATGCATAGAATATGTAAAATGCATAAAAACCCATTTGGATTTAACAGACATTCTGCCTTAACAGAATCCCTTCCCCACTATTAGGTGTTTAATCTCTGTTAAATTGAAAATCTATTGGACTATGTAAAGAAAATGAACTTTTGAACATGTGTAAATAATAAAAAAAATCCACATAGAGTTCAAACAGATAATGAGTCTACTGGAATATGTCACTGTGCATATAATTTAATTTTCTAAATATAAAGGTACAAATCATCTGGATGCTTCAGACAATTGTTTAAACCACCAGATCTTCTTGAATTCAACATCCATTGACCATGCTGTGCTGGGAATTGTAGTTCAGCAATATCTTGAAGGCTACTTCACTCTTACTTCAAATGAAATCTATGTTACAGAAAACCAACTACAAAAATACTTCTCTTTAATGTAGCCAGGAACAGAAGCTATATAGACCTGTTTATTTTAGAGAAGAGTTGAAGCCTTCATTCATCTCCCATGCTATCTCCAATGAAGTTTCTGTAACCCAAAACTCTAACTCAAACTTCAACTCCTGTTTTTATCTATGTTTATACCCATCAGAAGCATTTACCATACAAATTAGTAACTGGACCTTTACACTTGAAGAACATTTAAATAGAGTACCTACAATAGGGGCAGTCTCCATTGTTTTGAAAGTTCCTTAAGGAGGGAAATTTGGGATAATTGAGACCAGAAATACATCTCTAACAAGTGTTCTACCTCAGATATTTGAGAATATGGCATTGCCAAGTGACATCAATGGATTGTATAGGTGTGGGTGTATCTTTGTGTCAATGTTGACTCCTGGCAACTGCCTGGACTAGTGCCTGTAGTTTTCTTGGCAAGAATTTTGGAAGTGATTTGCCACTGACTTCCTAGAGCTAAGAGAGTGATTGATCGGTCCAAGGACACTGGACTAGAAGTCACAATCTCCTGGTTTCTGTCCTCGTGGCTTAACTATTACACCAAGCTTGCTCTCTGTCAATGGCTACAGAATATATATTCTGGCTTTAATTCCTAAATGGCCTTCCTTGGGTCATAAGGAGAAAAGCAGGGAAGAAAAGGGTCCATAGCCTAGGCTTGTTTTCCCTGCTATTTTAAACAGTGAAGTTAGTCTATCTAGTTATTATCAACTGAAATTTTTTATTTAAGCTTTTTGCGTGATACATGAAAAAACTATTTAGAAATCTAACTTTTGTATAGACTATATTTTAAATTAGACATTTATATTGTGTAGCCTATGGATGATTTCATGTGCTTGTTCTGCACATATTAACTAGTTACAATTCATGTTTGTACAAACCTTGGTTTGTACATTGTACATTGACAGCTATGACCTACTTTCTTTCTGGGTTTGAATTCCAACTAATTGATGCTTTTTTTGTTCAAAATATTTATGAAACCAGATTCAGGAGAAATAATATTGCATTAAGAATGCAATATTATTTCTCCTGAATCTGGTTTCATATATGTTGTCAAGAAATAACCAGAAAACAGCAAACGGCCTTGGAAAACAACAAACCCATTATTTCAAGTTGCTTTAATTGTCAATCTGTATTATAATTATAAACTGATCTCAATCAGCCTCTTATCAAAATATTTAGCTTTTCATCATGCCAGCCTTTGCCTTAATTTATTTTGTTTTCAAATATAATGTTAATGCATATTAAATGAAGAATAAAAATGTGGCAGATATGCTGGTACCAAGCTAAATCCAATTAAGAAGTTGTTAGGACTGTAACTGTAAGTCTGTATGAAATGTATTCATTGAACAAATAATCTGCCAAGAAATCCTTGCATATCATGCCATGATTTGTAGCCATGCTGATTTTGTGCTATGCATACTTCTGCCCTTCAAAGCAACTTAACTGCTTAGTAGCCTCAGACAGTATAATTTATACTCAGAGCCAATTCAGTTAGTAAATGCCAAAGGGTGGTGGCCGAAACAGGGCTATTGAGAGATTGGATACTGCTATCAGCACTTTCTGAAATGCATTAAATCTTCTCTAATATAAAAACAACTAGCTCAGTGATACCTGAAGATGCTCAATGGTACAGAATGGGATGGTGGGCAAGACTAAGGAAGGTTGAGAGATGAACAGAATGGAATATCCTAGAGAAGAATATGGTAAATTGTCCAGCACACTGAACAAATTCACTTGTAGATGTGTGTATAGCTTCAAATTTATTCTTAACTGATATTTAAAATTTGACCAAATCAATCTATTGAATTTTGATTTGGACAATCCAGGTGTCTGATTAAAGCAATAGCGAGTACTATTAGGATACCAAATTTGAAAGTACTTTCATATCCTATTAGCTTTTGTTTAAAGTAATTATTTACTATGGATCTACAGAATTAGATGAGACAAAATATACATAAAGTTGAAATAACTTTGGTAAGAACCTTACATTGATTTACAATGTAAAAACACCCACAGAATTTTATATGAGATGTATTTTATTGATGTCTGAAAAGCAGAACTGGCAATGAAATACCAAAAAAAGAGAGAGAAAAGAATCGGAGTGACAGTTCTATTTTAACACAACCACATTCTAGTGGAAAAATGTTTGACAGGTGAATTGAATAGGTAGGGTTGGTCACGTTCAAGAAGAAGATAAAATTTATAGCTAATACACAAAACTAGGGTTTGTTATTGTAATATAAAAAGCAAGTAATTCTATTATCTCTATTCTTGTAGCAAGAGACATTTTTTGCCGGATAAATCACTAGAGGGCAGTAGCAAACCCATAACAGATATACATGTAGTACAGTATAAAATTATTTCCTAGATACCTGCAAACAATACAGCCTCAATGCGGTCCTTTATATACTCAGGACTATTTCCAAACACAGGTGGAACTGCTGTTGTGCTATTTGGCCCTGGAACTACCAAAGGCCCTACTAAAAACGCACATGCTCCACCAAGGTAACTGATCAATGATGCAATAGCTGTGGCAGTGGCACGTTCATCTGGTGAAAACCATGTAGTAGAAAGAAGTGGAGAAGCACTTGTTACAGTTGGGCCTGCCAATCCATTTAACAGCTGTCCTCCGTGTATTAGCCTGGAGACAAAGCAAAAGAGAGAGACATACAGATTGAATTGCCACGCACAAACTCCGAAGAGTGCTATTAAAAATCTATAGGAAAACAGTTCAATTGACATCTTTATGCTGGACTTAAATGAAGATTTGACATATGAGCTTAGGGTTGGTTCCCAAAACTGGCATGAAGACAAGGATTAAAGTCAACAACCTTTTCAGGAAGTATATGATATTGTTTTGCTGATGTTGTAGGCACTAACCATTAAAATAAAGCTTTCTCCTTTTCCTCCTTTGTATTATTAATCTTGTTAAGATTTCATGTGAGGTCCCAGAATTTTCAGTATTTGCTGTCAAGTGAATCGTCTTACCAGCCCCCGAAGCACAGATTAGTATTTAGTAATTATATATTAGAGAAATCTATTAAGAAATAGTCTCAAAAACTGCCGTTCACATTGCGGTAATAGAAAGAAAACCGGTTCTATATTGTATATTTGAATAAGAATATCTACATCTGATGAGTATGTGAGGCATATTCATTTTTATGCATGTATTCACTTTAATTTTCACTTACATCATACATTAAGCAAATGAGAACTGAATTATGTAAAGCCAAAACAGTATATCTAGACTTCAAAAGACTTTGGTGAAAACGTAGTCAACAGCAAATGTTAGGGCAGAACACTGGAAAAACATCAGTTTTCACTATTTTTGTAGTATTAGCAATAATGTTATATAACATATTTTTGCAACATACACAAAACAAACCTTTAAAAGGGGAAAAAAGGGAAAATTGCATCATGCTCTTGTTATCAAAACTAAAAAATAGAATCAAACGTAAAGAACAAAAGAATTAAAGAAATTTGCAAATCTTCCAGACCAAGAAACCTCAAAACAATGAAATGAACTATGCTATATAACTACTTAGTCTCATAATCATCATGTTGGGGCCTGAATGCTGTAATATGCTCTCTCTTTCTCTCTGTCTCTCTCCCTGACCCTGTCTCTCAGTTTCTGTCTCTCTCTCTCCTTGAAGATACTCCATTGCCCGAAGCAGAACCCTAAGGCAGTGGTTCTCAACCTGTGGGTCGGGACCCCATTTGGGGTCGAACGACCATTTCATGGGGGTCGCAAAACAACGCAGTCCGCCATTTCCCCCCCTTTTCCATAGCTGTGCTACTCCCTTTTATTCTATTGGCTTTTGAAAGCCAATAGAATAGACTCTCTTGAGTCTGCCCTGCTGAGCCCGCCAAAAGTCCCATTCTGCAAACGGTGCTGCATCAGTTGAGTAGTCCTCGACTTACGACCGGTTGATTAGTCCTTGACTTACGACCAGTTGGGGGTCGCGGCATTAAAAAGGTTGAGAACCACTGCCCTAAGAAGACAGGAAAAACAACAACTAAAGCATCTAAAGTGGAGGTCCTGTTGCTTCTGACATGCAGCTCTCTTCATATCTCCAAGTATTCTTGCTATATGTATGCACACAGACACAGACATACAAACAATCCCAGCACTATTATAATTTAAACCAATACAGATGGTCCTCGATTTATAACCACAATTAAGCCCAAGAATTATGTTATTAAGCGAGATAGTTAAGTAGTTTTTTTCCCATTTTTGTTGAGTTGTTAAGTTAGCAACATGGTTGTTAAGTGAATCTGGCTTCCCCATTGACCCTGCTTGTCAGAAAGTTACAAAAGGTGATCACATGACCCCGGGTCACTGCAACTGTGAGAGACGTGAAGTAATTGCCAAACACCCAAATTTTGATCACGTGACCATGGGGATACTGCAACAGTCATAAGTGTGAAAAATGGCCATAAGTCATTTTTTCAGTGCCGCTGTAACTTTGAGCAGTAAAAGGATAGTTGTAAGTTGAGGACTAACTGTATCGTATACAGCAATACTGTAAACACTGGCTCTTCCAATTTCATAAAGGTGCTGAACAAATTTTTTTTAAATAACTTTATGGGATGAGACTCCAAAGTAGTTTTAATAGGAGTTGGTTCTAAAAAATAGGAGTTCAGTGCAAGTAGGCTTACAGCGTCAGCTGGCCATTCTGGTATGTGGAAAAACTAAGCGACTCTGGTTGCAAGATCAGACCAAGGACATAGAAACGTGACTTCCATTCAAACTGTTCAAGTAACTAGCTATGGGTTTTGAATAATGTGATGGTCAATTACTCTCTAGTAAAATCTTGGACTTGTTCTGGGATTGCTGAATACAAGAGAGAAAAATCTCTTCGCTTTGGCTTTTCAGTTCATACCTAGAAGTTGCATCATAAGAGATCCCAGGTCAGGCGGCATTAAAAGGAAATAATAAATAAATACATAAATTATTGCTGCATGTGGTCATATATGCAGGATGGCAGCACATGTGTTTTTTACATGGGAATTGAATGACTGATTTGCACTGTTTTCCTTGAGAGACAGGATATAGTATTAATAGGTTCTTACTGTCACTGCACGCCAGTGTTAGTTTTTAGTGCCGGTTCTTGACAATCCTGTTGCATAAAATTTACAGTTTATTATCTGCCACTATTGGTACTGAATTTTACAATTATATCTTCTTCGGCACTTTAAACCTTGGTTTCCCGATGTTCCTTTTCTGAGTAATGTTTACAGAATTAGGTATTCTTGGTACTTCAGTCTGCAGTATCTCATGGAATTCTTATCTGTTATAGACTTTTATTCATTTATCAATTGAAGATGGGAGTCCATTTATACCAGTAGGCTCAAGCAAGGGAGAAATAATGTTGGGGACTAGATAAGCTTAGCCCAGAGTAAAAGCGATTCAATTTACAGCTATTTCTTTTCCAGGTTCTTTCCATAAACAGAGAATTTTGGATTATACCTACTGTACCATCAGAGCTCTCCATTTTCTATTTTTTACTGCTTTTTATGCATTCCAAGTGTTTCATATTTGTGGGGTAGACACTGTGAAATACTGTCTAGATAAAATCTCTCTACCATGCATTTGAATCAATTTCACTGATTTGTGAACTCTGAATTAAACTGCTTTCTGCTTGGGGGTAAGATCAATTACTTATCTTCTTAGAGACAAAATGAAAGAAGATATTCAAAATATAGTTTTCCATACATAGCAATCTATTACTAATGGGAGAGCCAAATTTGCTATGGCTAATATAGCTGATAGAAATATGAATCCAACAGGACCTATACACATTTTGCTATCTGCGCCTTAAGTTCACTGTAGCTGATTTCAACCTGAAAAGTTAAGTTTTTCATATAGACCATCACCCATTCCAAAAACTGTTTTATGATTAGAAATATTTGTTACTGTTATTCCCCCTCCCATTGTTTATGTTGTCCAAAAGGAGCAAAAAGCAATTGCATTTTTCTTCACATCTCACACAGCAATTTCAGTTTGAGTCGATAATATTAAATGTCTTTTATATGAAAGATGAAGATTGAAAGACAATTTTGTTCTATATCTGGCCTAAAAGGGAAAAAAAGCTTTTTAAAAAATATGATCAAACTAAGAGTAGCATTTTGAACAAATCCTGTACCCTGCTCTCTGCTCTTAGGTTTGTATGTGATTTTTCCAATTTTCATTTAATTATTTTTAGATCTCAAACAATGTGAGGAATAGTCAGAGTTCAAGACAAGAGTTTTCATAATATGTTTGAGGGCAAAATTGTGGAAGAAAATATGAGGTTCTCTCAACAGAGTTATAAAATAATCAATTATTTAATCTTTCCTTTGAGATAGAGACTCTTATTTTATTTTAATAAGTTTGGCATTCGTACAAAGGTCTTTATTTAGCACCCACTTTGCATTAACTTTACTTTTAGCTATTAAACTGGGAAAGCAAGCTTAGCTTCAAAGAGTTGAAGTGAATTATGTATGAATACATCACATCCTTTGAGCAACATAAATCATTGTATTTCATCAAGTCCAAAGTCAATCTGTCAAGAGGCATGGGGTGGAGGCTAGGTAGAAATTATATACTGTTTTATGCTAATATTTACCTGTTAGGAATGCAGAGTTTTTATGTACTAACATCTTAAAAGCAAGTTGAAAGACCTACTTCTTTGTCTTTGGGACAGAGAGGGAAGAAAAACAGACGAATCAGCATAATTTTTATTTAAAAAGCTAATAAAAATAGTATACCTGGTTGGCCAGGATGAGGAAATTAGGATTATATTTGCTTTCTAAAATATATGATATATATATATGAGTTGAAAAATCATTGTTTTTTTAAAACTGTTAACACATGCACAAGCACAAACAAACACACACATGCACAGCTTGCTCGCTCATAGTAGCCATGTGTGGTAATTCCAGATTATTTGATTATTTATTAATAATCAATAATTATTAATTATTGAATTTAATTCTTGCCAATTTCTCTTTCACTAGTTGTTCACTAGTTGGGGATAAAATTCCTAAATTTGCCCTGCAGAGGATTCACAGTGAAAATGTTTTCCATTGCACAATGAATAAACTATGGTTTAAAATGCTGGCTTTGCACTACATTAAATTCAGCTGATGTTTTTATTTATTTGATTTAGGTACTGCCTGTCTCCAGTCTGACTCTGGGCAGCTCAGGATATAATATAAAAAGGGGAAAACGAATATATAATCATATAGGAAATATTAAACAAGATGGCATATCCAGTCAACCATACCAAAATATATCACACAGCCAGAAAGGGGCTCTAACCACCCTAACTGAGGAGAAGACAAGATCTTCAGTGGCCTTATGCTGTCTGGGTGGGAATCCCCCTACATCTCAGGAGGCTGGCTTTCTGAGTCCCAAAAGAGGACACTGTTTAATTGGAAGGACATGAAGAGAGAGTACATTTAGCTACTTTTCAATTCTGCATGAACAGATTCCAGGAACAGAACTATACCACTCAAAAATCCTTTTTTCATTTTGTGAACTTAGTGTTTTGTTTTGCTATTAGTTTTATTTTCTGTCTCAAGGCAAATTCAAAACAATCCTCCTCCCATTTCTCCCCACAGGAACAACTGGATTAACTGGTCCAATGTCGCTCAGTG